TTTTCACTAATATGCTACCTGTATATAAAAAATCCATAATCCACACAAATTTTTCCTTTTTTGAACCTACACTGTTCTTCCCCTATACATTCAGTATATGTCAGTTATTTCAGTAATGAATCTACCATTCATCTTCCTCAGTATGCATTGCAAACTTTTCCCTGTATACTGTTCACTGTAATAATTTTAATTAAGTGTTATCAGCCTTCTTTTCGTGCAGGGTGAACTATATGTGCTCATTGGTATACCATTTGTACTCTTCTCTGGCTTGCATAAACTCTAGTGTTGTCATTTTTTCTATAATTTTTTCACTCCCCTTTACATTTCTGTGGTGATGCCTTATTCACTTGGTATCTTTATAGTCTTAAGCTTGCTCACTTATCAAAATTTCAAGAGTATACGTAGTAGATTTTTTATTCATCCCAATCATAAAAAGGATAACTCTTCCATACTTTCATCCATTACATTCAAAATTTTTCAGATTTTTCCTCTTTTCCATAGCATATCCCACCTCTCATTTTCAGCAGCCATTTCCTTTCACTAAATTATTTTTCTCTTTTTATTTAATTCCTTCTGGTACAACTTTTGCTCTTAAAATAGAAATCAACCTTTCTCTTCATCTATCATCTGTTATCTTTTGCATTCTTTCACCACTCATTTTCCCCTTTATTCATACCTATTTTCAAATGTATTGCTTGCAGGTAATGCACATGTTCTCTTCTTTTCTTATTAAATAGCCCAGCCAGCCTTTCATCTTGCCATTATTTTTTTTTTCTAATCTCATATACTCACACACCTCAGTTACATTCTTTTGAGATGCAATCTTAACACTCTTGGTTAGGGTTTTCGTATGTGAAATTTAAATAAAAAACATTGTATGTTTACGTATGAATGCTAGACATGCAAGACTCACATTTGGCAATATCAGCATGATCTGACAGCTGTAGAGATTACACGCCAAGGTCACCACAGCAGTCTCCCTTTTGTGTTTAAAGGACCCAGGATATAATGTTGATCTGCATTTCACGCATTTTCTTGCGGCTTGTGCTAATTTCTCGTGCATCACAGTGATTCCATTTATTCATAGTATTGTCATGAGCATTTTGAACTATGCCTCATGTTGCTAGCAAGGGTGGAGGGGTGGGCAAACCTGAAAAGTACAAGGAGATTGCACCATGTGGTGCCTCCTGATGCCTGTTCCTGGTGAAATATTAATCTTTTCACAACTTTTCTTCTATAACTATTTTTTCCTTAATATTTATACAGTGTACTTTTTAACAAATAAGGTTCATATTGCAATCACATGAAATAATGAAGGTAAAATGATGTACATGTGTTCTCGATAATCATGAGTCCTGATAAAATCGCTGATCTGGCTTATCACAGTATCCTCAATTGAGACCATGTTTATGCTTATCACTGATTCATCTGGGTTATCTCAGAATTATAATTGGACAACGGCAGGTCTGCGAGAGCAACAGTGGCAGCAGCGACTGCCAAGAGATGGCAGCATGGCTCGTAGCGCCAGCTTCCAGCGACAGCCGACAGCATTTGTTTCCTCATGCTGTTTTGGTTGATGTTTGAAGACAGTTTCCTGCTCTGTGCTTCTTTATTGGTGCAATTTTTTTAACTTTTACTTACCCTCCACCATGGCATCTGTGAACAAGAAGAGTGCTAAGGTTCCTGATCCAGCCAAGCGACGAAGACATGTGTATTCTCTGGTTGAATGTTTTGAAGTTCCCGACAAGGATAAGCATGCACTTGGCAATACACCCATTGCGTATTACCACTTCCTTCCACTCCACCTCTCTAATCACCCCACCTTTCTGCTTTCTTGCTCCATAATTTAAAATTTATGTAACATAATGTGGAAGGAATACGACATTGTTCATTTAAACTTACACTCAATTTCGTGGGTAGACATCAGATGTTCAATTGTGACTGGCAGTGATGCAGCTAATGTTACCAAACAAACTGATTGATGCATCATCTCCTCACCACTTACCATAATCTTCCCCTCCACCACCAGCTCCATGATCATCACCACCATCACCACCACTAACCTCTATTATCACCACCTATATCATAATTTCAGTGATGCAGAGATGGATTTGCTTTAGCCACAGCAGATCAGCACGATATCCACTGCCTCCCACTCATTTCCCTCCCTCCCTCCCTACCACCCACCCACCCACCCACCCACCCACCCCCACCCACTCACTCCACTCCACCCACCCACCCACTCACTCACTGCATCTCACCGACAATCTGCCCCTCTCACTCATTCTACTATGACATCACTCATGATACAATATTGTACATTACTGTACATTGTTTATTTGTTATTCATCAATTAGTAAAGATATGTTACAAGTATTATATCTTTTAGTGTTCCTACACATTTTTGGGGGGTATATTTTGGTCAGTTAAGGGAATGAATGTATGTGGTCGTGGGACGAACAAATTTTTCCCATATGTTGTGTTTCAATATGTACAGTTTTACTTATCACGGTACTTTTCTGGAACATAACCCCTGCAATTATCGAGGATACATGTCTAAACATTTTCATTAAACAAAAATTTTGTGTTCTCGCACTCATGTATAGAAATAATTATTTTATCGTGATTACTTACATAAAACTGTTTGTAAATAATTTATTTACAGTGCTAATGCAGCAAATCCCACCATTTTATCTCATATAGCAAGCTTGCTATGGCTCATTACGTACAATTATCTCTCGTGTGGTGCAGTGAAGTGCGATGAGGTGGGTTACAGGCTAGACCCCGAGCGTTTCGTGGGCGAGCACTTCACCAAACCCAAGAGTGTTAAACTGCTCCCATTCTTCCTCAATCCCTTCCCATCTACAGCATATACTCAGTTATTCCTTTAAATCTTTGTGCTGCTTTCACTTTATTGAGCCTGCCAACCTTTATAATACTTTTTTTCATTACAGTCATCCCTTGGTTATAGCGCACTTGGTTATCGCGATTTTCGTTATCACGCCTCCATCAAAATCTGCACACCTGCTGTTATAGCGCATTTTTCAAGCCGAGAATTTCGTTGTCACGCAGTTGCCTCCAGGTGTATTGTTACCCCCTTGCTTCACCTACATCTATTGAGGATAAAATCTTTCACCTGCAAATTGACAATAACACATTTGCTGTAATCAGACATATCTATGTTGCCTCAACAATTTCAACCCCAGTTGCAATTTCAAATTCTGTCATTACTAAGGAATAACGAAGTCTCGGATGCACTCTAAGATTGAGAGAAAACGGAGGATTCAGGCGTCCTGAAGCGATGAGAAAACCGACTCCTCAGACGGGGAACTCAAATAAAGAAAGCATAGCTACATGTTTTGTGGACTACAGTATTGAGCGTACCCTTTTCATCACTTTGTAATAAACCTAGCCATGCCTATGTGTGTTTCTGATACGTACCATAACATTATCTATATCTTTAGTGGGTGTAAATGGTCGTAAAATGGGAAAATTGGGGTTGGGTCTTGGGTGCCTGGAACCAATTAGAATAAATCCCATAGGTTCTGTACTTCCGTTATCGTGTTTTTCGTTATCACGCACTCGGCGCGGTCCCAATTAGGTGTGATAACCAAGGGATGACTGTACTTGGATTTTTTTGCCCTGAATATTTTGTTCACTTCTTTCTACCACATGTTGGTTAGACACTGTATTCAGCTTTTCTTATTGTATTTACATCACATATCTTACATATTAATCTCCTGTCCACTCACACATGGGCCAAGAACTCATTATATTCTCCATTGGCACACCTCCATGTAGACTCAGATATTACTGTACAAGTACTTAAATTCAAATCGTTTATTCTGTGCTTTGAGTCCTCTTGCACCACACACATATCTGTCGATTAAACTGTTGTCATTACCTTTCATTCCAAACATTCCTTGTTTTTGTTCATGTAAATTCCTCGCCACTTTATAGTAACACACTATCGTGTATAAGTCTGCCATCATTGTCACACTCTTACACTATGCTCTCAATACAGTATAGTTGTTTAGGCCTGTGTCAAACCTCTTTCTTTTCTCTGCCTTAAAATTTCCAGGTATGTATGCACTCACTATGACCTTCTTTGCCTTTCAGGTTTCTTTCTTTCTATCAAATCTGGATCATCTAGACTTCTTACATTAATAATTACCTTACTCTGTTTTTTATGATCATCTTTGATTTTGTTTGTTTATGATAAAAGGAAGTGAGGTGGTCAAGTGGATATAGCACTCGCCTCCTGTTCTTTGGTTCAATCTCTGGGCACTCCCAGCTATAAATGGTACCTATGATTACAACTTGGGGAAGTGAATGCGGTGGTGTGCAGTACCGGCCATGCTGCTTCCCTGTGTACCAAAGGCTTACTGTACAGTGTGCTGTATCCACACTGTCTCTAATGGGCACTCATGCCTATGGGACCCACTTTCACTTTCATGATAAAAAGAATAGAAGTTGGGGTTACCAGGTCCATGCCCCTGCACAAAGGGCAGACATTGAGCTCACTTCATCGTGGATGTCATCACTGAAGTCAGCTGGTCAACCTGAAGGGACACCCACCATGCTGGATATAATATAAATTTCCTGCCTTAAGAATAATGTAAAACCCAGAGTCAATTAAGAGAAATTGAACAAATTATTAATGGAAATCCATCTGTCCAAAACTTGCAGTGGAGATAGGCAGTCTTATGGTATAACTGGTGTTTTAAACGCTGTACATTTGGTCAGAAAGGTTTTGGTGATGCCAGTACCAGATGCCGTATGCATGATAGCTTGTGACTTGGTGTGGTTATCCTGCAGGGGTGTACCTGTTACTCCATTTACAGAAAATGGCAAGTTGATGTAAAAGAATCAGTAATTTTATTACTGGTAATGTCAAGATATTTTAAAATATAATTTACTAAGAAATATGAATTTAAGCAATTTCATTGTTCCTAAAACATTTCATTATGTAACAAGGTCTTTAATATTTTTGATTTCAGAAAAAAGAAAAATATTTGAAATGAAAAGGAAGCAACATTACAATGAGTTTTATGCTGTAAAACTTGCACGAAAGCTAATGCAAAATGATGATGATGATGATGATGAGGATGAGGATGAATTGAAAGAGGAGGATGAGACTGAAAGTAAAGAAGAAAGGGACAATAAGATGGAAGAGGTAGATCATGATGGAAATGAAGTTTTGGTGAGTCCAAGTGAAGACATGGCTGTAGGTGAGGATCAAGCATCAGGAGACTGAGGGCCATCAAAATTAAGCAAAATTTGAGTGGAAGCAAAACTACTCCAGTTGTAGCACTTGCTAACACATTGGACTTCCTAATGCTCTAGTTACCATTATGTACCCTGTTCACTCTTTGCCTCATACCTTCAGAAGGGTAGTGACCAATCATCAGACATTTTGATAATATTATCAGCCATTACATATGTCATTGCTACAGCTAGTTAAAGGAGTTCCTGATATTAGAACAGTGAATCACAGTAACAAATGAAAATAATATTTATCTCCCAAGCATATATTTAATTGACAAGTCAGGTGTATACAACTCCAACCCTTGTTTTTCTCCAGTAACTTGCTAGTAGCTTGAGCTGGTGGAGGCAGAAGTGGTACTGTCTGGTAATCTTTACAAGGATGGCTCCTTAATCAGAAGCCTAGTCTTTTATTTGTAGGAATTAAGGGTGGAATACTTAACAGTTATGAGGGGAAGAAGCTAATGATATTTTATGTGAATTTTTGATGCAGTACCTAAGTACAGTACTGTATTGTGTTTTATACAGCTATTTGCGTGTGAGGCTAAATTATGAAAACAATTGTTTTTAGATCAGATATCCAAGGTATTGGTGATGTAAAGAGTATAGAAAATACTGTAAGCCTTTTTCTTCAAGTTCTGAGTTAGATTGCTTGTAATTTAAAAGGATGTTAAACACGTGTTGAAGGCAGAAAACTTCCAAGTTCGGGAGAACTGGTTGCAGTAATCCACTGAATTTTAACTATTGTCATGACAATACATAGAAATGATATTGTGTGTGTGTGTGTGTAACCTAAGTCTGAAGCAGTTATGCCATTAATCAGTAAAATAATATAATTTATAATTTTTTTTTATACTACTGTACTTACTAGATAAAGTACAAGTAATCTGATCAGTACTACAGTACAATAATTAGTGGTTGCTTTCTTTTGGAGTCTTAGGAATTATTTCTTCATTTTGTGTAATCTAGCTAAAAGATATAGTTACAAAAGCAGAGAACCAGTGTATCAGACTAATTCATTATAGATGGAATGATTTCAACAGTGGACTCTTGTTACAGAGATCATGATTATAAGAATGGATCATAAATACTGACAACATTGTGCCATGAGCCTTTCATAAATGTCAGTTCCCTTAATACATTTTAGAATTTATGGAGTTTGTATTTATTGAAGATCATAGTATATTTTTTGTCCACACAAAGACTAATATTATAGAATCAAAATAAAGTGATAGATTTTTTTGATGATAGAGAAATTGTGTGTAATAATTTTGTATATACAGTAATTTATAAAGCTCCTCACATTCAGAATGGATATTGATCACCTTGTATACCCTAGTCTTGCACTAGTACAGGTACTTTACTCACCACTAGTAGTGTTTGAGTGAAATATTAAAATTGCTGATATTCAGAGGTTATTTGAAGAAATTTATGTTTGCAATTAATTAACTGCTCTTGTGGGTTTGTTGTACAGTAATTAAATTTAAGGAATTAAAGAGCTGTATCATAAGTAAATCTCAGTATGTTAAAAATATAGAATGTTTTGCACTGCTTTTTCAGTCTTAAGATATAAACCAATACTGTACAGTATACTGTACTGTATCTTCATAATTTTCATCCTCAACCAGGGGAGAGTTTTCTCCAACATTGAGGGTTATGCAATGAAGTATGCAAGCGAGTGTTAGCCAGTAAACAGTCCGGCTGTCTTTTGGGGAAACCTTTTTTTAAATTTGCATGGCCTTAAGACATCCTTGGCAGTGAGAAAAAAATCTTGACCTTCAAAGTTTGTAAAATCATATAATAGAACCAGAAACTGAAAATTACTATACTCTAAACCTGACTTTAAGCCATGGCTCTATCATAAATCATGCTGCAGAGGCATATATATTACCTGTTTTTCACTCTTCTGGCTAACACTATTTGCAACAGAACTTACTTGATCATGAGAATGTATCCAGGGTTATGCAACTCAGGATGAATAATATCCTGCATCTGACATTTTGCATGTGTACATATATCACAGATGAAACATTTGACAAATGTAATGTAGCTAGGACCATACATGTGAGAATTACCAAATTTTATACTTTTGTTAAAATTACAGTTTAATGGGAAAACTTTCCCAAAAGTTCAGAGACTGTGATTATAAAAGGAGTATCAAGTAGTTGTGACAAATTAATGGTTAACAGTATTGTAATGTGTTCTTAATTTGTTGCTTGTTTGTGAGTATGCTTGATCACATGTAAATGTTTGTATGCATGTACACATGTGTGTATGTTTTTATGTATGTGTGTGCATATTACAGAATTCATAACTTTCAGTGGAGGTTTGAGACTGACCCCATGAATAATCGTCATATGGTTGATGCTGTGTATCAGCCCAGTAGAAAAACAAGAAGCATAAGTTAAACACATTGAATATTAATTAAATGATCAAGCACATTAACCTCCCTTTCTTAAAGGGAACCAGTGTAACAAAAGCTTACAAACATTCTTATTGCCCAACATTTGATGAAACTCCTTCACCATTACTGCTTGCAAGAGGCTAATAATACCTTGTGAATGTTTTTGCTTGAGGCTGCTCAAGTGTGGTTGCATCAACCTTTGGCATCTGCAAATTCTTTCAGTGTTTTCCTGCCTTTTTTAATCTTATTTAGTCTTGATACACATAGATTGTCCTCTCCCAGTGATGATAATAAACATGCTTCCATCGAACACATGCTTCATCGTGGTTCTTGTCTGATGGTTAATGCACCACATTTCCTTTTTCCTTTACTCTCACGCATGGAAACTTTGGTGATCACTTATTGGCAATATCCCAAGACTATAAAATCATGTATGTAACATATATTGTTCGCTGGGGAATCCCACCACTTAGGAGAGATGTCTAAATGGAGGCAAACATATCCTAACATTGACAGATAATCTGCTGCATCTCATCTCATTGATTTGCTGGACTGACACACCCAGTTTGTGATGACCCACACAGTTGGTTGTGATCAACTAATCTCTTTCTTGGACAGTTGAATATTGGAGATGCCATTGAGGATCTTATTTTGGGTTGCAGAGAGTAGACAAGATTGTAGATAATATTAGGATGGTTAAGATTAACCCTCCCATGGTGTTTTGACACAAATTGCATCACTAAGTGCTCCATAAGCAGAAACGTGGGAACGGTGGACTGGGCTGGCTCTATCAACCAACTAAGTTCTTCCCACTATCCTCGTGGGCTGGCAGATGTGTCTCTTAGAGGGCAATTTGGGTCTGGATTGCTCTACCCAATGTTTACTAAAATGGAAAAACCATTCCTGTTACTGACGCAACCTGTGTCGAAAGACTGTGAGGGGGTGAGATTGTAAACAGACTGCGAGGGTTGAAATTTCCGACCATGGCCAAGAATACCAGAAGGTTAATGGATTGTTGAGATATGCAGTAAGTTAAACTGTGAATAATAGGAGTTCTGTATAAATACAATAAATACACTCAAGCATAAACAGATTAAAACTTAAACAAGTGCTCTCACATAGTGACTCGTTACCCCTGAAACCAGTTGCATTGGAAGGAAATTACTATGCAGAATATAAAGATACTACAGTATACAGTACTGTATTACAACATAGCAATTATATCATAACGAAGGAAAAGTGCATGAAGTGTACAAAGAAAGTATAGTGAATTTTGACATGCCATTGGATATGCTTGTTAAGGAATATAATTAACGAATAGGTATCAGTTAAATTGAAATGAACGAATATCACTGATCTTGTAACCCTTAACTGCGACCATAGAAAAATGGGTGATCTGTGCAACTGTGTATACATATAGTACTGTACAGTATGTACAGATACATATATCCCTAAAACAATGCAGGGGTTAGGTTAATGAAAACCCAGTGGACCCAAAACTGCAATGTTCACCTACTGGAAGCTATGGGAAGACAAAATTGCCAAAAATCTAAGAAAAACCCACACTATACCACACTTACTTTCCACATGCACTCAGTTCTGCTATAACGCGATAGTTGTGTTCTTGTAAAACATCATGTTATAGAAATTCGCGTAATAGAAATAACAGGGCTTATGGAGAAAATAGGGTTAGGTGCACAGTCTAAATAAATGTTACATTCATATCTAATAATGAAATCATACAGTAAATGTAACACTTACCTTGAAAAAATATGAATATAACTTGATGGGGGAGAAGGGTGATTTTGAGGTAGATAACATCGAGCTTCTCTTCAAGGGTTATAGCCTTTCTTTTACGATCATCACCGGGAATGCGATCACCAGAACGCTTCTTGGAGATATTCTTCTTTACCATATTCACAGTTAATACCACAAAATTGGAGAAATAGTATGCAAAAATCGCGTTACAGCAAACAAGCATTCGCGTTATACAAATATCGTTCCTCTATTCATAAATCGCGTTAGAGCCAATTCGCGTTGTCAAAACACGCGTTATAGCAGAACTCACTGTATGCTCTTTATTTTATTTTATTTTTTTTATAGTTTTATACTATATTTTTCATATTTCTAAGCCACATTTAGAGTACTGTTATGATTTTTTTCACAACTTTTATAGTTTCATTACAAGTAACAATGTATGAGGCGGCTGGGCTCGCGGGTCTGCCATGTAGTTTATAGCCAAGGCCTTGGCTATAACTGCCTCCATAGATACATATTCACTTCTCACACATACATGCACATGCTCTTTGTTTTCTTGTTTTATAATATATTTTCTTGATTTCTAAGGCACCTAATTTTTATAGAGCAGCATAATTGTTAAGAAGTCCGTTTTTCTGAGACTTGCGCCGGGAGTCAGCTGCAAGAGTTGGCAATGCATGTTGTATTTGTTACATATAATGAAACTATAAAAGTTGTGGAAAATCATTTCAATACTCTAATGTGACTTAGAAATAACTAAAATATAATATAAAACCATAAAATAAGAAATATGAAGAGCATGGGTGTGTATTCTGTCTCAAAGATGCAGTGTCTTGCTGGCAGCACTTGTAGCACTCAGGGCAACACACTCGCAGCCAGTAGTGAAAGTTGTCAGATGCACGTACACAATCTCCCTTGCTGTAACATGCAAAAATGGTCAGGAAACCACTTCCCTCCTTTTTATCACCCCTGAACCATAAGACGTAGAAGTTCCGTTCCCATGCCCGATAAAGATCTACTAAGGATGCTGCTCACATGTCATCATTCTTAGACCTAAAAAATAAACTTGGGGACATCATATGCATTTAAATGTCTTGGCAGGAAATGAGCTTGTCTATTGATTTTGGCCACAGTTTCAGGGTTAACGAGGGGGAGATAATCATTGTACAGTACATTACTGTGTAATAATTGTTTGCCAGGTGTTAGTAAAAAAAAAAATGGTTCATTCAGATGATTTTATGATATAAAGCGAAATGAGTGCCCTATATGAAGTCCATGATGACACTACATACCCAGGAATTAAAGGCCTGGTATTTGACAGAAATCTACAAAGTACATTTTAAATTTGTTTGAAAGGAGGTAGGGAAGTTCATGAATGAAAAAAGTATGATTTTTTAAATCTGGTACCAATGCTGTTGATAGTAATATTTCAATGATTTTTAATTTGAAGTTGTAGAAAGCATACCCTTTGAAAAATACCTGCTAAGAAAGCTCTTGGTAGTAAGACACGGTTGATGAAGTTCAATTTAATCAGGAGTAAAAGGACTTTGAAGAAAAAAAAATATATATATATACTGTATACAGTACTACGTATATAATATTTGAGGGAGGACATTTTGAGAAAACTAATAAGTACAGTACAGTAGTACCCCGATTTACGTGGTCAATTGAACCCACGGGGTACCGTGGAAAGTGAAAACCGCGTAAAGTGAACAACAGAACATATGGGATTAATTCCAATAGAGACTGGCCAGACCCCCAAACTCCACTTTTTCAGACACAATACCTACGTTGTAGTAAAAATACCAACTTAATTTTATGATGGTATGCACACACAATTAATAATTAAGAGAAATATCAATAATATTAGGTTTTTTAACACTTACATTAGTAGAAAAGATGGCTGGGCACACGGGGATGAGGGGTAGGTTCCGAGGCAGAGGGCAGATTATTGGCCCTCACCTGTATCACTTGTATCACTATCCACCACATAGGCTTGCAGGGCCTCTTTGTCAAACCCCTCAAAGTCCATATAAGTCCATATCCTCACTATCACTGACTTTGGCCGGCTGTGGCGGGTGAAAAACTCGGTAATGTTTTGATGACTGGGCGACCTTGTGCGCATCCTGCCCGCGCTGCTTCCCGCGTATATGAGTAGATGCACCGCGTAAAATGAAATTGCGGTTCTGGCGAGGTACCGCGTAAATGTGAACCGCGTAAATCGGGGTATTACTGTATTGTTTTGGGTACACTATCTTACCTTTACACTGGTGAAATTTTTGAGAATGCAGATATCTTGTGATGGATTTTAAAGTTTATTTAAACATGTAGACAAATACTTATTTAAGAAGGAGTTGTAAACATAAACTACTGTACAGTAGTACCCCGATTTACGCGGTCAATTGAATCCATAGGGTACCGCGGAAAGTGAACAACAGAACATATGGGATTAATTCCAATAGAGACTGGCCCGACCCCCAAACTCCACTTTTTCCGACACAATACCTATGTTGTAGTAAAAAGAACATCTTAATTTTATGATGGTATGCTCACACAATTAATATTTAAGAGAAATACAGTCGCTAGGTTAATGTCCATTCAAATAATAGACTCAATTCCCCCCCCCCTCCCCTCTTCCCAGCTCACTGGCCCCTACCTCTCTGAGAAATGATTGGGTGAAAACACTAGATTTTAACGTTTAGTAATAAATAATACCTCAGACTAAAGTTAGGATAATATAATTAACATTTCTGGATTCCTTGCAGGTCAGGGAATATTTTTAATGTAAACTTCATATATTTTGCACAAAAGATAAAATATTTGCTTTGTGTAAACCAAATTATTACATTAGATCTAAAATTTGTATGTCTAATGCAAAATCCATGATGTTTATATTCAAAATGATCATCATATTGTAAGAATTCCAGCAATGTAAATTATATTCTGGCCGGGTAATTTGTATGAATTTTATGAGCTAAAACAAATATCTTCAGTAAATAAAAAAAAATATATCTTCAAGGACACTATCTGTCAATCAAAGTACCCCACCTTGCCTCCCCCCCCCTCCTCACACTCATGCCAGCTGGTCAGTCGGTTCCAACCCTCCCCCCACCCCCACCTTCCCTCCCTACCAGAGAAATGTTTGGGTGAAAACACTAGATTTTAACGTTTAGTAATAAATAATACCTCAGACTACAGTTAGGATAATATAATTGACATTGCTGGATTCCTTGTAAGACCAGGAATATTTTGAATATAAATGTCATATATTTTGCACAAAAGATGAAATATTTGCTTTGTGTAAACCAAATTATTACATTAGATCTAAAATTTGTATGTCTAATGCAAAATCCATGATGTTTATATTCAAAATGATCATCATATTGTAAGAATTCCAGCAATGTAAATTATATTCTGGCCGGGTAATTTGTATGAATTTTATGAGCTAAACAAGAAAAAAAAAAAAATTATACTTCACCCGGTATATGAGAAGATGCACCGCGGAAAGTGAAAGAAGTGAAAGTCCGGTTCTGGCAAGGTACCGTGTAAATGAGTGAGAAATCACGGAAAGTGAAACCTTGTAAAGCGGGGGTAAT